GCGACCGCTGCTGAGGCCGCGCCTCCTGTTTCTGCCGCCACCATCGCCGCAGCCGCAGCTACCGCCGTCGTAGCCCCAACCTCGACGGTCGCTGTGGCCCCGGTTGCATCTGCCTTGGAGAAGAAGACAAAGAGCAAGGGGCCCTACATTTGCGCCCTGTGCGCCAAGGAGTTCAAGAACGGCTACAACCTCCGGAGGCACGAGGCCATCCACACGGGAGCCAAGGCCGGCAGAGTCCCTTCGGGTGCTATGAAGATGCCCACCATGGTGCCCCTGAGCCTTCTGAGCGTGCCCCAACTGAGCGGAGCCGGTGGCGGCGGAGGAGAAGCGGGTGCAGGCGGCGGAGCGGCTGCAGTGGCTGCCGGTGGCGTAGTGACCACGACCGCCTCGGGAAAGCGCATCCGGAAGAACCACGCCTGTGAGATGTGCGGCAAGGCCTTCCGCGACGTCTACCATCTGAACCGACACAAGCTGTCGCACTCCGACGAGAAGCCCTACCAGTGCCCTGTGTGCCAACAGCGCTTCAAGCGCAAGGACCGCATGAGCTACCACGTGCGCTCACATGACGGCGCTGTGCACAAGCCCTACAACTGCTCCCACTGTGGCAAGAGCTTCTCCCGGTGTGCACGGGGGCCCAGGGCCTTGGCCGCTCACTAGGCGGTGGGAGGGAGGGGCTGCGATGAAGGTGGCCTGGCCTTGGCTGGTGGGGAGGGAGAGGTTTCTGAGGATGGGGACTGGGAGCCACTCCCAAGGAGGAGGGAGAAAAGCCTCTCTGGGTTACCAGGGAGCAGGGGGTGGTACTTAGCAAAGGAGGTGGGTCCTTGGATTGTTGGAAAGCTTGGCGTGGACAACGCAGCCCAGCTCCAGGGGAGGGATTTCCTGCCTAACTAGGACTCTAAAGTCCCGGGCTTGGGAGAAAATGCAGGGACCTTTGAAAGGCCTCCTGTACTAGGTTAGGCAGATTTGGGGGCATCTCCACACCCCAGGGCCCTAACCCCAACCCCAACGTATCCCCAGGCCGGATCACCTCAACAGTCACGTCAGACAAGTGCACTCAACAGAACGGCCCTTCAAATGTGAGGTAGGAAGCCCGCCTCTTTCTGTCTTGGTTTTCATGATTTTGATCCTCATTATAGTTGTCTGAGTTCAGCCTCTCAGACCCCCTTTTTCTCTCTTTTTGCTTTTTCACTCCCATTTTCTCATCCCTTCTTCAAGGCCTCATCGTCTCACTCCCATTTCCTACAGAGCAAAGATCCCCAAGATTCTGATTCCTTTAACCTCTTGTTCCCCTCTCCCTACTCCCTGAAGCTTTAACTCTCCTGACACCCCCCACACCCCTCCCCCTTCCCCAGAAATGTGAGGCAGCTTTTGCTACCAAGGATCGACTGCGGGCGCACACAGTACGACATGAGGAGAAGGTGCCATGTCATGTATGTGGCAAGATGCTGAGCTCGGCTTATATTTCGGACCACATGAAGGTGCACAGCCAGGGCCCTCACCATGTCTGTGAGCTCTGCAACAAAGGTACATGCTGAGGGATGCTGGGAGGGCCAGGGACAAAGGGTGGGGACAAAGCCAGAAGCCCTTTCACAGATGTGAGTTAAAGGTGCTGTAGCTGAGAGCTCGTGGCATCTAGAGCCCTTTAGGAAGCAAATGAAGCAACATTGGGACCACTGAACATCATTAAGTTCTAAGAGATCATGGCTAGAAGAAATCTACTAGAAAGAGCCAGCTTCTGGGTGTGCGTGGGGAGAATGGGAGTGGGACTTGGCTGCTTTAGGGGAGGAGTGGTCAAGAGCGCCAGTGCCCAAGGGTTGAGAGACAAGGTTTCAGCTGTGCAGCCACAAGTTCTCACCTCCGGCTCCTGGGACCAGTGGAATACATCGGCAGGAGTTTAACAAGCACGCACCCTGCCCCAGCAGCAGAGAGAGTTGCTTTTAAATAGATCTGCTTATTCACTGAATAATTGGGCTGAGATTGTGTGGGGCACTGGAGGGAGGGGACACAGCCGTCTGTATTGAGGGTTAACGCTTCAAGTGGCTAGAAATTGAGTGGCCTGTCACCCCAGGAGAGATCCCCCAGCCATGGAGAATGGGTTCTGGGTACCAGTGCCAAGGAGTGGACACTACTCAATCAGGTCCCAAGCTCAGGGTGGGGCTGTAACTTACCAGCCCCAGCAGAGTAGTTGGCCCCAGGTTACCAAGGATGTGGGAGGAGGACAGGGCCATCTGAGGAGGGTGTCCCCAGCCTAGGAGAACAACCCCGTCTCTGGGGTCTCCACCTGGCTGACCCCATCCCCCCC